AAGAGTTACATGCAAAACCTTAAGACATATTATGGAAGGCAGGGACCCACATGTACACAATAAAATTAGTATGTTACCTTGTTAAAAAGCTGCAGTTTAGTTCAGCCCAGATTATTTGTGTCTTTTGTTTTGAAAATCTTGATTATAAACGTCTTTACCCTGAAGAATACGTGACAACGCTTGATCATTTATTTGTGTTCAAATATTTTTCAAGGACAAATTAATTAGCTCTCTGTTTCCTTGAGTTAAAAATCAAAATGCTTTTGTCTTGGCTCCAAGTAGTCAAGTTGCAAGAAAGATGCTGCCTGACTTAAATGTCCTCAACACTTGAATCAGAAGAAAGAATTTTGGATGCTGACCACAGATTCACCCAAGTATTTTAGGCTGAACATTTAGTTGGATTTGTAATAGTTGAACATGAATTGGCCTCCTTATAATTTGTCTTTCTATAATTTCCATTAACATTTTCTGTTTGTCAGGTAAAGCATTAGCATATGGTGACCTATAACACATTTGCCACATAGTGAGGTTAATGAACATAGAAGTACTTTATCAACTTAATCTATTGTGCTTTTACCAGCTGACAATTGCCATAATGGGGCATTTGCTATTTTGATCTTATAGAGCATGAAGTCCCATTACATTCATACACTAATCTAGGCCATCTATCAGTCCCTGCCCACGTCAATAACTGTTTGCAAACTCTGTTCCAAAATACTTTTCCCCATTCTGTTTTGTTCCTGTGGTTTCTGCTGCTTCCAGCACACCAGGTGTCTGCCTCCCACACCTTTCCCAAACCCCTCCTGCTCTAAGATGTACTTCTCCTGTGAGTCTGTCATACACAGCTGTGTATAGGAGAAAATGATGGTGTTTGCAAAACAACAAAAAAATTCTCTCCCACCACAGACTGTAGAAGAGCAAATAGTGGGTATTTAAAAGGTCAGCTATTTTAAAGCACTTCAAATGATGAAAAATGTCTCCCCTTCAGATAAATCTAGGAACCATAGCCAGATACTTGATAGAAGAACCCTTCATAATAAAAATATTTCCAAAAACCTTTTGAGTCTTTCTTCTCATGCTACCTTCTGCTACAAATGTTTCCTCTATTCCAATTTTTCTGCATTTGGATTAGAGTCATACAATAAAATTAAGTCATATAACATCTTTAGTTGCTTAACAGCAGTCTCATCTATGAAACTCAGCCTCATCTATGAAAATATATCTTTGCAATTTGCAAAGTTGGTAAGATACTTACATATTCCAGAGAAAAGTGCAGTTCAGTGACTTCAGTAGCTACTATTAAGCATCTGCTGTACAAATGACACAGTCATTGCATAAAACAATCAGTTCAGATGGCCAGAGCTCCTACATCCTTTGGATATGGTCTTTGATGAATAGACACTCTTATTTTTCATCTCCAATCTATTATTAATAATATACTCTATGATCATCCAGACACAAAGAATTAAGACAATAACTCTCTAAGTGAAAAACAGAACCTTAGCTTGCCAATGGAATTGCAGCCTTTAAGGCTCTGCCAAAAGACCATTGCTTCAGACAGAAGAATGAGCAATTGCCATGCAGGCTTGGAAAGTGTTCATACGTAGTATATTAAGCTGAAACATTGCCTTTTCTTAGGAGTTCCTTGTAGTAGCACCAAATGCATCAACTTAATTACCTAATGAAAAGCATTTCAATATAAACCAATATTCATTCAATGTAACTGTCTCTTTGTAATGATATAACAAGAATATAAATTTAAGTTTTTGTGTATGACAATCTTCCTACAGACAAGCTTAATGGAAAGAAAAAAAAAGGTCAAGGTAGATAATATTTCTGTGTCACTGAAACAACAAAAAATTCTAGAAATTAACTTCTTGGGATGAGGAGGGAGATACAAAACAAGAAACAACAATTTCCTTGTCAACAAGCTTTCCTTTATCCCACCCGACTTTGGACACTGCAGACGGCCCAGAGTAACACTTGGCTAGCCTCTCACTGAAATGCTGCCTCTGTCACTCTGCGGTGTTGTGGTCTAACCACAGCCAGCAGCTAAGCACCACACTGCAGTTTACTCAATCCCTCCAGTGGCGGGGGGAAGAGAATGAGAAAAGTGAGAAAACTCAGGGGTTGAGATAGAGACATTTTTAACAGATAAAGCAAAAGCCACACAGACAGGCAAAGCCAAATGAGGAATTCATTCACTGCTTCCCATAAGCAGGCAGGTGTTCAGCCATCTCCAGGAGAGCAGAGCTCCATCACATGCAAGGCTTCCTTGAGATGACAAACACCAATCCCCCAAACATCCCTTACTTTCTCCTTCTCCCAGCTGTTTACGGGAGCGTGATGCCATGTGGGCTGGAATACCCCTTTGTTCAGTGTGGTCAGCTGTCCAGCTGTGTCCCCTCCCAGCTCCTTGTGCACCCCTGGCCTCCTCTCTGGTGAGGTAAGAATCAGAAAAGGCCTTGGCTCTGTGTAAGCTCTGCTCAGCAATAACAAATACATCCCTGTGTTACCAACACTGTTTCCAGTACAAATCCAAACCACAGCCCCATAGCAGCTACTATGAAGAAAATTAACTCTCCCCCGGGCAAAACCAATAAAAGTGCCTACACAGAGAGGGAGTGTTCCCAGTGTTCTCATTAAGAATGTAGTTAGGAGCTAGGACAGGAGCAGTCACAATGTGGGCGTCACGTTGTCACACAGAGAGGGCTGATGAATGCAGGCGCAAGCACCTGCTGAGATCTCCGACTCCCTGACAGTGTGCATGGCACGTCTGCTGCTGGACAGCCTCGATACCATCACACATCCCCATCCTTTCTTTGTGCCGTATCCATCCGTTTAGGACTAGCCAGTAAACTGACATTCTTCATGCATAACTTCACGCTGTTTTCCCTTTCAGAAAGTGACCTGTCAAAGGGAGAGCAAACACTGCACAACAATCATTTCTTGTCTGTATTATTTGAACACATGAAGTAAATACAGTTTATGGGCTGGAGAACCCGGAGTTTCAGCCTTCCAAATTTCATCTCCTCTTCATATGTGTTCTGTGCATGTTTTCTTTTTTATAGCTTTCACTACCTTGTCTTTTCAAAACTCATGAATCCTTTTTATTTCACACACCAAAATCTCAAACTAAGTAATTGTTTTACCACAGAGGAAGTTTAAACATGGAACTAGCACAAGGCAACACCCAAATTCAGAATGCATCCTGAAACACAAAGGCATTAGAATCTGAGATATGTATCTATCCACAACATCCTTCTCCCAAGTATCTCAGCCGAAGTTCTGCATCCGGTCTGCATAACTGCAGTGCTCTCCTGACCCTCCCAAAATTGTAAGGAAACTCAGATCTAGATTTTAACTTTACACACAAGCATGTCTCCTGTTAAGAGAACAGAAACATTACAGGCCTCATAGTGCCAATTTTTGTGTTGTTCTTTCACTTGCAAATGTAGGGAAAACAAATTGCTACACTGCAGTTACAGGAGGTGGTATGTGATAAGAATGAAAGCTATATAGAATGTTCATCATTAATTTACCTAAGAAAACTCCCCAAACCTGTACATTTCATATTTTAATCTTTCATCCAAAGAAAATACAGTGTTATTCAATGAGATAGTCAAACTTCAGGAACTCTCTCCTGCACATGCAAAGTTGTTTTTTTGAATAAGAGTGATGACCAGAAGATTGCTCAATGAATCCATTGATCTATCTTCTGATACAACTTCTGCCCTGAATATACATCTCTTTGTCAGATTCCCAGACTGAGCTAAAGAATTTCACAAAGCTGCATCCTTTAAAGTTTTAAATATTCTATGGGGTTGTACCAGTTGATGGACAATGTAGAAGTGATTTCAGGTTTAGAGACTGACACATCCCTAAGAGTTAAATACCTTTGTTCTTGCCTTTGTGTTTGCCACTTATCCTGAAATTATCCTTAATATAACCCAGATCAATACAAAACAAAAATGAAGAAGCTTGCATTCAGCATTGCACTGGAATAGAGCCCCTATACAAAGAGTTTCTTTCCCTCCTTTGTTTGAAAAAATGCCTTCAGGAAAAGATACATTCTGAATACATTGATCCTTATTTATTTGATGGGGAGAGGTGTATTTATTAGTAGTAATTAACTACTATTAAAAATACTAATATAATTATTTTTCATAAGTAAGTTTTGAAGTATTATGAGTTTACATTTTTAAGTCTCTATAGGAGGCAGAGTTGCTTTACAAATGGCTGCTGACAATTATACCTATTTTAGCTTTTTTTGCATGCAATTTTACAATTTTGTGTATCTAAGCAATTTAGACATGCCTTCTGGTTTCTAAATATTATTTTCATTCTTCTTCTCTTTTCTTGCACTGTACAGGTCTCTTTGGCACGCTCCTAACCTAGGAGTACACTAGAGTGCACTATGTATAACTGGTTCTCTGATTAACACATACTGCTCTTAACAGTGCCTAGCTGAAAATAGTCAAACTCAGCTTTTAATCATGTGTTATGAATGTTATGAATGACTTTCAATTCTTAATGCATAGTTACAATAACTTTTGCCTTTTAAACACAGCTGAATTTTATTATATACTCTTGTGGCAGAGAAGCTAGATTTATTTAAAAATTGGTAACTCATGATTGGTTCCATTGATTTTAAAAATAAAAAGGCATTGTCCATAACTAGTGAGGTTTGTAGATATAAAATTAACATTCACTGTGGGAATGTCAGGTAAAGAATTTGCTGTATGATATAGGACTTATGCATAAGAAGAAACAAGATTTAACATTACTAAAGTCTATATCAAATGTTTGACTAACATATTGACACATGCAACATAATACTTATCTGATGTTGTGTGTCTTACAGGTTAAAGAGATGTTCCAAGATCTTTGAGGTGTGCAGAATTATGTACACTAGTCACAGCTCTTACAGTTCTTACTCATATTACTGTTAGTTGTGAAGTTCTTGCGAAAATATGAAATAACCTGTCTGAAATAATTCTGAAAAGCTGAAGTTTCAGATTCAATGAAACAATAAGTTCATTAGAAAAAAAGATAGCTCATAAGTTTGTTTAAATTCTTTTATTTAAACAGAGAAATATGTAGGATCAGGATTTTTCCCAGGTCACATTGAACAAAAATTTGATATTTTCAGCAGAATTTTGTCAAAATTGTAAAATATTATTGGTATTTACTACTGAAGCCCTTTCAAATAGCTCAGTCTTCATGCCACTTAGAGAGCAATAGTTCTAAAAATCTCTTTAGCAGTTCCCTTTTTACCTTTCTTAAACTGTGTTAGAAAATACTGTGGCCCCTTATCCATGTGAACAGAGGAGCCTACATAATTTCTTCCAAAATGAACAGTTAATCTAAAAAAAAAAAAAAAAAGACTTTTTCATGTCCTCTTTTTTTCAAAGTTTCTAAAGTGCCATAATTAAAAGCATATCAGTGTGTCAACCTGTGAAAATTTATACAGCAGAGTCAAATTGAAAAAGAGTACTCCCTTTTTCTGCCTCCAGGCAAGAGTTCTTGAACCACTATTAAAGAAGAGGCAGGACCATACATTCATTTGGGAAACCTACCATGTCCAGTAATGAGGACTTACACTGCAGAGACAGGAGACTGGGATGGAGTGATGATGCAAGTTTAAACATATTTTTCCTCTCAGTCAGTCTTGCTACACTGAGGAAGGGCAGACACACAGTTACTCAACTCTAGGTGAAAGGCTTAGTTTCATTCTTTTGCAAAGTCCTCAAAAATGCAAGTCCTTCTCACAGGCATAAACAGGGAAAAGAGTCAAACAGTTTTCCTATTTCCTGCTCTTCTTTGTCTTTTCTTTTCTCTTTTCTATATTCATTATCGATAACAAATGGATGAATGTACCATGGACTGGTTCGGCTCCGGTGAGAGCTCTCAGGATAAAAGTGGCAACCACTGCCAAGTGACTTAATTTCAAAACGGAAATTCTCCTATGAACACTTTCTGTAAGAGACTGACTGATTTTTGCTGCCAAGTGAAACAGGCCAGTCCCATATTTATGACATTTTTGTAACTCCTTTCCTTTCTAAACACATACTAGCAAAATACTATCCATTATATCAGTTAAGAGAATGTGAGTGAGGGGAAATGAAAGATGTTTTCTCCTGCCATTTTGACCCAGATTGCTAACATTTCATTCTATGAGCTCATCTGGGGTAAACTGAATTGCATCTATGAGATATGACTCTCTTTTTTCCCCCTATTTTTAATGTAACAATTATGTAAAACAGCAACCTCACATATCATCTAACAAAGTGAGTCAGTAATTTTATTGGATTGTAAAGTAGAGCACTTCAGAATTCCACCAGAGGGAGCCAGTGCGATTGAAAACTTGAAAAGCTACGGTTAAAAAAAAAAAAAAAAAAATCAAACCCAAAAAACACTTAGGGAAAGATCATTACCCTGCAAAATAGCGGACTGAAAGAAATAAAGACTGATCTTCAGAACCATCGTGTTTGTGCCTTTTGAAGAAAAGTTCTTCACATGCAAAATAACACATAATGGAGGTCAATAACATAAATGAAAAACGTTATTTTAACAACCATGCTTATATTTTTTCCCCCGGGAAGTGCATTATTTTGCATAACACTGCACTTTAACAACCCCTTATTATGATCGTTTATTACTTCAGAAATGGAAATTAATTTCTCTAATGACTCTTTAATATTTATTTTATATCATCTTCTGTGCTGTTACAATCTTCCTTTTTCCATCTCCTAAATCAAAAAACCTATCCACTTCCCTTCTACTGCTCACTCACCCCACAAAAATTGTGTCAATAGCCAAAGAAGCCAATCCCAGCACTGACAGGCTGAACAGGACCAGCAGTTTCTTCAAGCTTTTAGGTCACTCTTTTGCACTTCCATGACTTAGATAAGCCATAGGGCATCCTGGTTTTTCCTAAGGAGATAGAGTCAAACCAAAAAAAAAAAAAAAAAGATGGGAGAGGAGAAGAAGAATAGTGAAAAAGAAGAAAAAACCTTCTGAGTGGAGAAGTCAGAAGTAGGAGTAATAGCACAATACGTGGTAAAGATAAAAATCAACTTCTGAAATGAGAATTATGCCTTACTGCTTTTTACTGGTTATGAGGACCACTTGGGATTTCTCAAGGTTTTCCTGTGCATATGGATTACTGCAGTCATTGGAGTATACCCCTAAGTTAGGCAAATAAGAATGTGGTTTCCATGACAATGTGGTCCTTGTATCCTAAGAAAGGAGAAAGGAAGAAACCATTACCACCCTATGAAGCCACAGTTTCATCTAGAAAGGCAGATGTTCTTTTGTTCCCTGTGCACAATACAATGAAGGTGGAGACTGGAGGACCAGGAATGCACAGTGAAGCTTGCACTACAACAAATTGCTAGAGTGCTAGCAGCTTTGACCTAACTTGGTTGTTAAAATAAGTAAGTTGTCAACTTTGCCTTTTGCTGAGACTGTTATTAGCTTCTTTGGGTTTTTTAACATTTTTCTTTGTTATTTTTCCCAAAACATTTATCAAATTCCAAAAGTCCTCTCTAGTCAAACTCTTCGAGCAAGATTGCTAACAGAAATTACACTCTTTATATAAGCTCCATTAACTCACATACCATGTAGAAGATTCCAAACTGTTATTTGTTATGCTTTCTACTTTGTGTTCAGTGTTTCCACAGACAAAATGTACCTGATGATGCACTGTGATGTTTTGGTATATGCTCACAATTCTGCTTTCTCTCTCAGCCCCAGTATTTTTGAAACTCCAAGTTTTGTGTGTCCATCAGTATATTTTCCAGTGATGCATACCTTTCTGTCATGCTAGAACTTCTCAAAAACTTTACAAAAGCAGCAAAACATACAGAAATTTCCTTTTATACTTTCACTACACAATCTGACAGTGTTTTCAAGGTGAGCTCAGTTTACCTTGTGTTAACTACTAGATAAAAACCAATTTCTATTCCTTCTTGGCTTTGCACCCTGATTTTTCTTCACCTTCTGATTTTTCAGTACTACACCAGTGCAATTTTTCAAAGTTAGACAACAGCAAGCACTGTTTAAGATCAGGAACATTAATACATTCTGAAGTGGCAGAATGTTTGGGTTTTCTTCCTGTCTTCTGCAGGGTCTTCTGTATATTTTTTATTTCATACCTTATGCAAGCACCAAGGTTTTGGTTTTAACAGCAACTCCTCCCTGTGCTCATCTTTGGTTTCATTGTCCTGTTTCTCTATTGTAGTAAGTTTTCCTGCACTTGTCCATGAGGTCTTTATTGGAATGCATGAAAGTGTGATGATTTCAAGTTAAATTCATTGTATATAGACTCATTTATAATTTTGTAAAACCAATACATTTAAAAGTCTCCCCATCCTCTTCACAGTATAACTAATTTCTTTGCATGTGTCTTTAATTCATGATATCTTTGTTGTGTTACCTAACTTCAATCTATGATGCTTCTTTCTGTGTTACTTTCTGTGAGTTTGACTATTCCATATTTTTCCTGTCCCCACACTAAATTTAGCTTATTATCCATTATGACATTCGTGATTCCTTTTTTTAAAAAATTGAATGACAGTTGCTTACTTCTAGAATGGTTATGATGTAAGAGTCAGTCCTGATTCTTATATAATAACTGTATATTAGAGTATTTGATTTTTTCTATGTTTGTCCCAAGAATTTTCGTTCATAGGCATTATGTGACGTGTCTATTTTGAGGCTATTCATTGACAATTTCAAGATTCTAAGAAATGTCGTATTTCAAACCATGTCAGACCAATAGTGAAATTTTTGAGTCTACTGCAGTTTTTCATCACAGCTAGAAAGTTAGGATTATATTTGTAGTCATTTGATACTGTGGTATCCAGACCTACATTACAATGGAATACTTAGAGTAGTACACAGTCTATTTGGATTTTGGAGTGTCCTGATATGAGTCTAAAGACTTTGCTACATAAACCTTCTTTTGAGATTACTCTGAAACAATATATCTCATAAACAAAGAGGTTTATTCTGCATACAAACTTAAATCCTCTTCCTTTTAGTTACCAAGTCTTCAATTAGTTTCTATTTCTAAGCAGAACCTCTCTCAGTTTTTGCTACTGTAAAGTTGAAATTATTTATTAAAACCAGCCAGCCTCTGGTTTGTCCAGCTTTCATTTTCCAATGTTTATAGTATTTCTTTAGTGCATTTGTCTGACAATCCCTTCTGAGGAGAAGTGATGAGAATGAAGATCCCCTCTGAGAAGGAGTTTATTCTTATTGGAAGCATCCACTGGATGTAAACCATGCTATAGGAATAAAAATGGAACAGATTCAACTGTTCAACTTTTTACCTAAACAGAAAAAGCAATTCAGCATGGCCATTTCTTGTCTATTTAATTTCAAAATTCTTAGGACATAAATATTCAAGCCCTGAGATTTCTCCAACAAGTTTTTAAAAGGCTCCATTTATTAGAGAGTTCACATGACTCAATACAGAGGGGAAGCTGCCCAGCTGTGTGCTGTGTTTAGTACTGAATAACCTATGCTAGGCTAATAGGGGAAAGCCCCTTAAATCCCTCTTCCCACTAATCCCCCAGGCACTGATGTACAGTGTCACAGTCCTCTTTACCCAGAATTTTTTCAGCTCTTCAGCTGTTAATTTCACATGGGATGCCTGATCACTCCTTCCCTTAAGAAACATAAATGGATTTTTCTAATAACTTCTGAAACTTCATTTTAGCTAAATCAAAATACATTAGCACAGGAGATCACTGAGCAATACAGACCTCACTACAAACTCATTACATTGGACAGAAATTGTGTAAGGCCAAAGCTATACAGAAAGAAGCCCTGTGAGTTAAGATGCCATTTGATAACTCGTATGTTCTTACTGAAAAGCTCATTAAATCTTGTGCTGTGAACATCACAGAGTGAGGGTACACAAATTAATACTAATATAAAACACAAAGAGCAGATGGAGTGTTGGATATGTGTGAATGGGCAGGAAGGAGAGCATACAAAATAGCTATGAAGATTAATCAGAATCAAATATATTCAAGTTGCAGCAGCTGTTCAGGATTGTGGCATCCTAAATACCACGCCCAGTAAAGGGCTTCCCTCCTCCTTTAGGATTTGTTTTTTTTCACTGATTTAGAAGAATTAATTTCTGCAGCTACAGGAGGCTCCATCACTGATCAGTGATGCACCTCAAGATGCCAATAACAATGTATGTTACTTGCCAAGGCAAATAGATATCAGCAGGTGACTCAGGTGGATGACATCAAATTGAGGGAAGCAGCTGATTCCCTTGAGGCCAGGGCTGTCCTTAGCAGGACTCTGAAAGGCTGGGGACATGGGCCAGTGTGAATTTCTTCTAATTCAATTAAGGCAAACATAAAGTCCTGCACCTTGGATATTATAACCCAAGCAGCCAGGAGCTGACTGGGTAAACAGCAGCTTTACAGAAAAGGTCCCAGCGAACAACAAGGGCAGGCTTGAGTGAGCGATCGCTCTTACAGCAATGCAAATGAGTGTACACTGGGAAATATCAGTAACAGTCTAGCTAGATCAAGGGAAGTGATTAGTGCCCCCATCCCCTTCTGGTACTTGTGAGGCTGCCTATGGAGAGCTGCGCACAGCCCGGGGCAGTGTGGAACAAGGAAGACACCAACAGACTACAATGAGTCTAGTGAAGAGTCACAAAATGAAAAGAGAGCTGGAGCATGTAACAAACAGCGAGACACTGAGAAAGGCTGGTCAGCCTGAAGAAGAGGGGGTTACAGGATGATCTGGCTTATGTCTTCAGCTACCCGTTGGGAGAGAATAAAGAAGACGGAGGCAGACAGTTCTTGGAGGTGCACAGCAAAATGACCAAGTTGCAACATGGCAAATTCCAAGGAGGGGAGTATGTGGAAATTCTTACCAGTGAGGGTGGGTAATCTCTTGTGGCAAAGAGGTAATGGAACTTCCCATCCGTTATGAGATTCAAAACTCATCGGGACATTTTGCAAGATGAGCTTCAGCTAAGCAAGCTGAAGGGGAGGCAACTGGCATCCAGGTACAGCGATGTGCTAGCTGCCAGCCCTGCTCCTGCTGGCTGTAATGGGCCTCTTACAGGTGACTTTCACCAGTCGTGTTTTAGCAGCCACCAGGGACAAGCTAAACACACAGCTGATGCAATGATGAGGAAACTGTGCAACAAGATTGTTAGAACTGGACACATGAAATAGCTGCATGTAGATCATGAGGAGGAAATGGAGCTTCCACAGGTCTTGGAGCATTGGTAGTAGTTCCCAGTACCTGTTCTGCTCTCATTTCCAGGTCTCTGTGACAAATTAACAAGGAATGTATCTGCTCTGTAACTGCAAATCATTGCAGCCTCATAATAGTGCATCCACTTCAAAACAGCCCTTTTGCTGTCCTGACTCACACCTCTTTGCCCCTTCTTGCTCCCCCTTCTTAAGTGTTTTTGGATAAGTCATCTTCTTGTTTGGGGTACGTAAAGATGTCAGCTCCCTGGCCACAAGGGTTAATGAACAGAAGGAACAAAGAAATTGCAGGCAAAAAAGATCTAAACTAAGCATGTGTGATCCTGTAAAATGCAGACAGGCAATGTTTGATCCACCAGAAAGTCTCCCAGCTTCAAGCAAACAATTAAAATATTTTGAATAAAATTTGAACATGCACGGCAAGTGCAGACCAGCCTGGAAACACTGGTTTTGATCCTGCTCTGGGAGCTTTAAAGCTTATCACCAGATCACAGCCCTATAGTATGGCTCATTACACTACATCTAAAGTCTTGAAATTGTTATGAGACTGGTTGTTATCTTTCACTTTTCAGGACAAAATTTAAATCTGTTGCATCCACTGAGAAACACATTCAAATGTTTAAATGAGTAGGCCAATTCTCAGAAATGCATTGTTTACAGGTCACTTATATTTAGAAGTCTACATAAAGGAAGCTGTTCGCTCTTTAGCTATGACTATCTGAAAAAGCTAAGCTGGGGGTTCATTTATGCAAATACTAGCAGTAGTGGAGGCCATCAAAAGAGAACACCATTTGCTCCAATCACTTGCTTGTTATGTGGTGTTAATTCTTCATCTCAGAAGTCAGCGAATTAAATATAGTTTCTCATCTAATGTCACTGTGATACAAACTTACAACCATGTTTCTGCTGACCGGGCCAGCATGAAGCCAGATGGTCAGCCCTTGTCCTTCTGCCTTTTACTCTCAAATCTCAAAGTAGCTGGTTTCCATTTCCCTCGTTCCTTTTTTAGGAAGGTAAGGAGCAGGTGCTCCGGTTCCTTAACCTCAAGGGCTGCTGACACCAGCACTTCTCATGTTCCCGTAAAAAGAAACTCTGCGTGAACGACAAGCAGAACTACAAACGCAAAGACACCCGAGCTGGCGCTGCTGCTCCGCTCCCCCCCACCTCCCGCCGGGCAGTTCCCTCCCGCGGCAATTTCCAGGGATCCGTGCCCGTAGCTCCGCGTGCGGCTGCGTGCGGAGCTGTCCCCGTCCCTGTCCCCGTCCCCGTCCCCGCTGCGCTCCCCCGCCACACCCACCCACGCACGCGCCCCGGCGGAGCGGGAGGGGCCCCCGCGGGGGGACGCGCTGCTCTCGGCTCCTCGTTAGTATAGTGGTGAGTATCCCCGCCTGTCACGCGGGAGACCGGGGTTCGATTCCCCGACGGGGAGAGCTGCGCCCGCGCGCTTTTTTTATTTACCCGCCCCGCGCAAACCGTTATCGCCGGCGACAAAAGGCGCCGCTCGCCGGCAAGAAAAAACATACCATGCGGCCTCCCCGTCGGGGAATCGAACCCCGGTCTCCCGCGTGACAGGCGGGGATACTCACCACTATACTAACGAGGAACTGCCTTACGAAGGCTTCCATGGGACTGGTTTTATGAGTAACTCCGCACAACCACGTCCCCATCGGCTGATCACAAACGCTCTGTTGTGGGCGGAGGGACAGCAGGGGCGGCTTCCGGCAGCGGGAGCATGGACCCACGAGCCTGCGAAGGGCGGCAACGGGGCTGGAGGCGAGCTCGGCACCACTAGGGAGCGGGGGCGGAAGGCCCTTGCCGCTGCAGACCACTAGCGGGGGTGTGGGTGGGGAGAGTTAGCGTGCCTGCGCGGGAAGGCGGTAACGGAACAGGGCCGGCGCAGAGGGGCCGGCGCAGGGGTGCGGCGGCGGACGGGCAGGGTCCTGGGCCGCGCCGGGCCAGCCCGCCCCCGCCATGCCCCTGCGGGCGGGGGGCTGCGCTGCCGGCGGCGTGGGGTGGCCCAGTTGTAACGCTCTGCTGGGAGCTGCCTAGCAAGACCTCGTGGCGCAACGGTAGCGCGTCTGACTCCAGATCAGAAGGCTGCGTGTTCGAATCACGTCGGGGTCATTCGGTTTTTCTTTTTTCTTTCGGGTTTTACCGCCTTCCTCGCGCAGGAAACCGAGGAACGTTATTATTGGCTGGTTTTTATTATGTTTTCTCCTACAGCTTAGGGTCTCCTCCTCTGCTTGAGGCGGAGAGGGCAGCGCGACACAGAGGCCTCAACGGGGGTCAAGGCAAGATCCCATTGGATACAACTGGCATCTTTGTTTATGGTCTTTGTGTGTAATAGGACTGTCTGATTACACACTTAAACACAAAACGCAAGAACGTGTCAAAGGTTTACTTTATTAACGCAGCCGACAGTGTGGAAATGATGAGAAAACTTCAGAAAGTTGTATAGAAAGAGTAACTTTAAATTTTAAAGGGGACAGAGGCCTCAAAAATGGCAGATACCATGTTTTCAGTACAGAAATTCACACAACAGGCAGTAAAAGTAAAGGCAGAGGCAGCAAATGGTCTGATGGATCCAGGAGTTCAGAGAGATGCTACTCTTGAGAACCCCGCAGAAAGAAACCCTGACAGGGAGAGAGAGGGGAACAGGGTGCCGGTGGGGGGAACCCTCGAGGATGATGGAGTTAGACTGCAGAACAGAAGAGTTTTCTCAGAGTAACTATTTCCACATTCTGAGGTTAACAGGTACCCGCGGCAGAAAGGCACAGGGAGGACTTAGCTTTGATTTAAACATGAGATAGCAAGTCTTAGAAATAATACTTTAGCGATTTAGATGGACTGGAAAGTTTGACACTTGATGAAATTTAAATGGGAGGAAAACAATAGTTTGTCAAGTGCCTGAACTGAGAAAGAATGCCAGAGATACAATTCTCACTTTGTAAGAATTGATTATTAGTGTTGTAAACCATAGAAGAAAATGAATACAGAAGTCTTATAAATCCGATTCAGCAGACTCAACAAATTATGTGGGGGTTATTAAACCAAATACATTGGCTTTTACATGCTACTGTTTGTTCTATATACCCTTAAAACCTTTTAAATACAGAAATTCTGGATCTTCCTTAAGTGCTTTTTGCAGTACTTTGCTATTCTTACAATTACAAAACTAGCATATGTAGTTAAACCCTTATGTCTTTTTTGCCTTGACTTAAATCTAGCCCTCGTGTCATTGCCCGGGAGAACAGTTTCTCTCTTTCTTTTTATAGGTACTTCTTACATATTTGAAATTTGTTATGCCTCTCTATAGATGTTCCAGCATAACAGACTATGTTTGCTGGGCCTCTGATTATTTTATCACTTGCCTCTGGAGCCTTTCCAAACAAGCTGCATTTTTAAGTGCTCAGAATTGGTCACAGTATTTCAGCTGACTCAGATTTTACCAAGTCTGAATAGACAAGGAAGACTGCCTCACATGCTATACTGACAGGAATTCCATTTAATGTGGTTAGTCCTTTTTTTTTTTTTTTCTTATTGCACAGTCTGTTAGATGGATGCATTTTGTATGAGATGCATAATCAGTTAGATGTTTCCCTGGTCCCACACAGCATCTTATCTCTCAGCCTCACCACCCACCAGAGAGCTGGATGTAAGAAGTGGTAGCAATCTGTTTGCATTCCTGTACCTCTGCCAAAGCAGGTGCCCCGCTCCAAACATTCCAGATTGTTGCCAGACAATATCTCTGGCTTGCAGTAAGGGCAATATCTGCTTATAGGAGTCCAAGTTTTCAGAGTGTGGTTTGCACTAATATACCTGACATGTGCAGGTTGTCACAAACCAGTCCATCTCGCTCTGCCCTGCCCGTCGCTGTCTGTGCATTTCCCTCCTTCCACTTGGATCACATCTTGCAATGGCACTGCAGCAGCTGCCAGCTCAGCATGCGAATCTGGTGGCACAACTACTAGATCCAACACAGGAAAAGCACCAGGAGTGAGTGCATGGCCTGGGACAGGACAGAAAGCAGGATCATCCCCTTCGGCAGCACCCACAAATACTCGTGGTTCAGTTTAAGGTTTTGTCAGCTGTTCTTTAGGAGGAGAGGTCACTGTCCCTAAATCAAAATAATCTAGTGATGGTTCAGAACTAAATGAAAGAATTAAATGTGTCTGAGCTACATACAAACTCTCCTACTCAATTTCCTATTGGTGAAGTGGGGATAATAGTTCTCTTTGACCTTACAGATGTTTTGTCAGGTTGACTCCATTAATTCTGAGGCTTCCAAGTATGCTAGTAGGTATTTGTCTCTCACCAGCAATTCAATAGCCCATGTGTTTCTGTTCTTTTTGTCTCTTCCTGACTTTTAAATACTGCATTTTGTAACCTGACGGTTCTCTTAACACAGCTGTTTTTTCTTATGGAATTGTTACTAGCTAAATAAAAAAAAAAAACCTACAAAAACTTAAATCCACTTTAGCTTAAAAAAACACTGGAGCTGAAGTAATAGCTTCTGTCTGTGTTTGACAGAAATAAATATCTAAATAATTCTGGTTTGGAAATGATTCATTGTAGGAAACCACCCTGAAAATTGTCCATTTCATTTCTGCCAGCATACTTAAGCAGGAGCTGACACTTCTATTTTCAGTCCTTGTTGGTATAGGCCTTTGACAAACATAAGATCAGCAGCAAGACATTTTAAAGCAGTTGTACAAATTTCTTTCCTTGCCTGGGGACAGCCATACAGGGCTGGGCATCCCTTTATTCACCTGGCTGTTCACTGTTTCAGGTGACACTGGCAGAGCAGCGTTCCCAGTGGCTGCCAGCTCTGGAACTGCTCTAAAAGCAATATGCTCCATTATACTAAGGCATGTTTTCTTTCTTATCACTTTTCCCTTTCTACTTAAAAACAGTTTTATAATGAAAAAAAACTAGAATTATTAAAAAGCCACCTAATTTTTCTAAATTAATCAAGATTGTGGAAAAGAAATAATTGTTTCTAGAAAGTACAGTTATGCTGTGCTATAATGATTAGACAACTGTTTTTTTTATTTCTCATAAAGCTTTCCAGTTTCTATTACATGTCTTACAGGGAATATAATTTTTATAGTGAAACCTACCAAGACTGAATTAATACTTCATACAGCTTTTTACATTTCCTTATCAGCTCAGTCTAAGACACGAGCATGTCTGTAACACGTGCTTAAATGACTTTGCTATGAATGTATAGTCCTTGTGTT